TATACAAATTAAGTCTTTATATAGCTTTATGTAATCACTTATATAAATTATTAAATAAAGATATGAGCAAGACCTCATCTTTAATATAAAAAAAAAAAAAAAAAAAATAATAATTATCAATATTGAAAATTTATCATATATTTATTATAAAACAATAATTGAATGCCTTATATTCTTTAACTTCAATTTTACCAGCACTTTTATATAAATAAATGCTTTATTTACATTCATCTTTTCACCTCCAATTCTAGTTTCAATAGATTTTAATAATAGAAGTTTTACGTTCATCTTTTTAACTTTAATTCCACCATCTCTCATTTAAAAAGAATAATAATATTTATCTCTTTCAATGCCAATACTCCATTTAATGAATGCCTTATTTCGTCTTTTCAACTCTGGCTTCACCAAGATTTTCTATTTTAGAAGATTAATTAATGCTAATTTAATTGATATTTTCTTTTTTGGAATACAATAATTAATGTCTTACATTCATCCTTTTTGACCCCAATTTCACTAATGTTGCTATCCCAATAAATCAATGAAGAATTATTCTTTGTGGTTACTAGAATTATCAGGTTTAAAAAATTAATAAAATTATATTAATTCTAGTTTACTAATTTTCCCTACCAATTTTGGTTGGTTCTACTAATTATTCACTGTCTGCGCTGATCCATTTTATAGTACTCCGATAATGAGTGATGAAGAAAATTAGTAAACCCTATTAATTTTCTCACAGAATTGATAATGAATACTTCTGTATATTAATTTTTTAATCTTAATTCTACTAATGCTTATTATTTCAATTTAAATTCCACTAGCGTTTTCAATTTCAAAAAAAAAAGGTTAATCTCTTTTGAATCCAATTCCACAAAAAATTTTCTTTTAAATAAACTTACTAGAGCTCTGCAAGTGCCGGGCATGTACTATTAAAAATAGTGTCTGGATCTGTGCCTGGCACTATGTTTTAATAGTGCCCGTGCCTGGCACTTGCAGAGCTCTAAAACTTATGTTTTTCAACTCCAATTTAACAATGCATATTTGCGATTCTTCATATTTTCTCATCATGCTCTATAAAGTTTCGTATATATCAATTAAAATTAATAATTTAAGAGCCTACTAATGTCATAATATGCTAGTAAGAGTTAGATCTCCAATTGGATTTAAAAATATTTTCAGGATGACCACTAATTAATTGCAATTTCTAAGATTCACAGATCACTGAGTTGCAGTTAGGTTACTATCGCAAAATAGTATAATACATCTATCAGAAGCTTTTAATTTAAGCGATCAATAGAATAAACTTCTATATTTAAAACAATGAATCATTAAATAACATACTTAATACTACCAAGACAGAACAGCTAACAGGAGTTGGACCAGATATGCTCTGATAAATGTTAATTTAGATTGTTAGTTGCAAAGACATAAAGAAATTATATTCATTCATTATATACTATATTTGAACACGTATCGGATTTTGCATTATATAATGATGGCTACAAGGTATTAACGAATAAAGGTTGGGCTTTTATGATATAGAGCCTAGTGATTGGACCCGGGTAAGTGCCACCGGGTCACCCGCGGGTGGACGGGTGACCCGGGTGGAGTTTTGGCCACCTGGGTGGAAGTGGTGGGTCACCCGACGGGTGACCCGTGAACGATAATTGCGACTTTAATCCAAATATGCACTTGTAAGTATATTAACTGCCTTTTTTTCTTAAAAAAAAAAACTTATCAAAATGGGTTTTATATTAAACTAGACACTCATTCAATGAATCGGAGGTAAATTTTAAACATTACTATTTTGATAAAAAAAAACCAGTGACATTCAAAAACTTATCATTGATAAAGGTTGCTCAAGAATTACTTTTACATTTTTATATATTAAGCATAATAAACAATGAATTTTCAGTAAATTTCTAACCGATTCAAATAAAATTACTATTTTTTTTACAGCTGTTTTTATAAATTCTGGAACAGCTGAAAAATTGCGATGACCGAATTGATAAGTTACCGAGTCTGAATCAATAAGTAACCGACTTCAGAAGCTTATCGATTCGGTCATCAGCAATTTTTTCAGTTGTTCCAGAATTTATGAAAACAGCTGTAATGCTTTATTTCTACTCAGGTGACTCACGAATCCACCTGACGGTTTTCTTTTTTAACCCACCCATGTTCTACCCGAGTGACTCATGGGTCCACCCGCGGGTAACCCGGGTAGCATTTTTTTTTGACAGGTCCAATTACTAAGTGGGATTAAGAAAACCGGTTTGAAAGAAACTAAAAATAAACAGATAAAAACACATAATGAACCAATCATAATTATGATAACAAAGATGATTTGTGAGATTTGCAAAGGAAAAGTTTATTTAACAGCAAGAATTTTGACGAAGACAACCCCAATTCTCTTTGAATTTTACAAATACAACACACAACACACAATATGAAATTCTTTAAAAAACTCTTAAAATGCTTCAAGAAAACCCAAAAACAACAAGACAGTTGGGATGATATATGTGTCAAGGTTAAGTCTTGGTCTACAAAGTCAACCGACAATAAAGAAGATTCTTTCGAAACCACCTTACTGATGATTGAATTTGAGGATCAATTCTCTATAATTGATCTGAAATTTTATACAAGATACGAAGAGTATGTTGATGATATGAGGAGAGAAACCTCTGAAAAGTATGAAAGATTCAAGATATACTTTTCATTCTTAGACGCGTATATACGTAGTTACCATAATCTCTTTTATAACGCAATATGGTATTATAGTAAGGGGAGTGCATTTGATTTATTGCTGTAGAGACGAAAGCAATATGAAGAGGATTTTGAGTACACAATAGGAGTTTTGAATAAAAATTTTAATTATATCTACCTGTTAGAATATAACGATTTGTTAGATTATGCTGAAAACAATTTAGTATTTTAAATGTAATTTTTGTAAATAATTTATTTATATTTAATTTTTTTGTAAATAAAACATATGATTGTACATAAAATTTCTGGTATGTTCTATGATGATTACGTTTGTATAAATCTAAAATTAGTAATCTGATTGTATGCATGTGATTTTAGTATAATTTCTTTTGTAAATGATCATCCAGTCTACAATTAGTAGTTTTTATTGTGTGATCAACAGTGCAAAATAGACTCTGAAATGCCCAATTTCTGTTTTTTCGCCTTTTTGCTCTTCCGATGATTGTACATTTGAGCCTGAGAAAATATGAGGAATACGAGTTTAAACTAAGCTAGCTGAGCTTCCCTCGCAGTGTCAACATGTAAGATATCCAGGTTCTTTTCACAAGAATCCGGAGAAGTGTACTCGTATTTCTCTCATTTTCATATATCATAGGAAACAGATGAACTGGTCAAATTTTTTTTACTTTTCTTCAAAAATTTTGGAAGAACGTACCAAGTAGCATAGTACTTTTCTTGCTAAAACAATGACCGAAGCTGCTAGTATCTCTTCGGTAGTTGGTCATTTCAGGTAAAGTTTCTCTATAACTCCTGCATGTGGTTATGTTTCTTGTACATTTTGCATAAGAAACAGAGATCCGGTTCAGAAGCGCTACCTAGAATTTACTTGAGTTTTATGAGAACTGGGTCTTTCAGAACGATATTAACAAAGCAATTTTCTTTGCAATTTTGATGGCTGGCTTGGATGAGTTGGCTCTTCTTTCTTGGAAATTAGCGATGAATCTGTAAAGGGAAATTGACACAGAACGGCTTAGGGACCTCATTCGAAAGATCTTATAGATCTTTTGGAGTGTCTTTCTACCTCCCTTGAAAAAGGATGAAGCTGATTTCTTTTTTTTTTTGAGCTGCTATGATAATGAACCTTCTCGCGGTGCAGCTTGAATGTTTTTGTTTATTTATTAAGCAGAAATAACCAATATATTATCAAATTTTTTGTAGAAACGTCTAACTGAACTAAAATATAAAAATATGATATCTCCACGAGTTTTCATCTGTTTGATCTAAAATCTTACAGGAAAACTCTCGAATGCCATCCCTAAAACCTTTGTTAGAATCGTACAACATGTTTCATTTTACTGTTGTTATTAAATTGATCGCTACGTTCCTACAAACAAAAATAAAAAAAATTTGTTATTAGTTCTTATTACAAAAACATCGATGATTTGACGAATATACATGCAATTAAGCTGAGCATTGTTTTGAAAATTGGACCTCTTAAAAATAGTATATATAATTTCAAAATGACACCCATGGGCGTCCCGAAATAACGTATACTCTATATTAAACTTTTAACAAGAGCTGAATTCAGCTTTTGTTATAATAAAATTAAGAAAAAAAAGCGAGCCTGATATAACTTTATGAATCTTTGTTCAAAATTCTTCAAGGCATAATTCGAGTATGTTAGCCATAAGTCTTGTTAACATGCAGTTGCATCTTTAGACTGAACTTGTAAAAATCCTACAATGGTGCCATGATGATTTTTTCATCACTTTCATCAAAAACATAGAAACATCTAACTGAACTAAAATGTAAAAATACGATATCTCCACGAGTTTTCATCTGTTTGATCTGAAATCTTACAGGCGAACTCTCGAATGCCATCCCTAAAACTTTTGTTAGAATCATACAACATGTTTCATTTTACTGTTGTTATCAAATTGATCACATGATCATAATTCTACATAATATTTAGAAAGATATGTTTTTTATTTTGAATTTTGTATTTTTGAATTGTGATATTTTTAAGTATAAACTGTATTTCAATAATAAATCAATTATTGAGTTTAAATTTAATAAATAAAAATAAAAAATTCAATTCACTTTTTTTCCGGATATAAAATCGACAAATTTGCAACATTTACAATAATTTTGAGATTCAAGTAGCTGAATTTTCATGCTAAAAGTTACTTTTAACAAGAGCTGAATTCGGCTTTTGTTATAGTAAAGTTAAGAAAAAAAAGCATTTGAGCCTGATCAAAGTTTAATCAGACCTAAATGCTTTATTATAACAAAAGCTGAATTCAGCTTTTGTTAGAAATATAGTATATAATCTTGCTTGTTCGGTGATTTATTTTAATCAGAAAATTGATCCTTATCTCAAATTAACCGTAAAGTGTGTTTTATTTAGAGAAAACAGTCATCTGATCGATTGAAGTTGAAATGGCAATTTTAATTATATTAGATTAATGAATATAGATAATAAGAATGAAAAAATGTAGCATAGTGGGTTTTTATATTGAGCGTTCTTCAAAACAATGGTTTTACACAAAAGTCGAACAAAAAAATTCGATATCTTGATGGACCTAAAAAATTTTTTACTATCAGATCAAACCGTGATGTGATATTTCAAAAATCACCGTCTAATTGTTTAAAAAATCGCCTTCTAATTAATTTATATCACATTTACTATGATGTGATATTTCAAAAATTGCCGTCTAATTAAATCTGGGTTTATCCGAATGGATAAACCATTTTTCTATAATTTTTTACTATCGGATCAAGCCGGGATAGGCATGTGATATCTCAAAAAAAGTCACTATTATAGAGGTTGAATCTGGAGGTTGTAGATCTGGATAGTTTATCCGGATGTGGTTTATCCGAGAACCCGTTCTGAATCAATATTACTTTTTTGTTAGGCAACTTTTATGTTCAACTTTTTGTACGCCAAACGTATATTTTTGTACCCCAAAAAAACTACACACTAATTTCATAAACATTCTCTGGAATATTGTTTATCTAAGACCTGTTCCAGCTTTTTCTAAGTTACCAAAATGACCGCAACGGACACCCATGTGCAAGCACGCGATTATCTGTCTGGTATTTTGGAGAGGACTGTATAACATTGGAAAAGCATCACTCCGCTTATTTAATTAGCACTACGCTTCACCGAGATAATAAAACTTACAGATGTTGGATATCTCTTGCTATTCCACACTGTATAAAATTGATATAATTATTGAATGATAACTAATTCAATATGCTTAAAACAGTTATATCAAAATATCTAGACTGAGGGTTTCTCTTCTTATTTGTTCTTGATTTGCATTCTTTGTTTCGATGAATATATTGATAACAAGGTCTCTTGAGAGAATATCTGATCTTTTTAAGCCTGCATAATTCACATGCAGTTGTTATTTTTGTAGTTCTTGATATAGGCATCTTGAATAATGAAAAATAATGAAAAATCATGCAGATTTAAATAGCTTATCCAGATAAACTCAACCTGGAAAAACCTTGGCCAAATAATAAAAAACCTTATCTGAATGAATCTATATTTGAATTTCAATTAGACTATAATTAGAATGATATTCATTCTAATATTCTTATTGTTTATCATTAGAACGAAAAATTTTAAATGAAAATTAATTCCTTGGCAAGGTTTTTTTAAAAAAAAAAATTTTGCTTCTTGTTTAATATACCCAAACTTGGAATATTGCCAAGGATCTTTAGAAAATTTTGCTTTTTATCTAAATATAGAATATTGGTATATCAGCTTATCTAAATTAATACAAAATGTATACTAATGAAATAATACTATATACAGCCTTATTATGATTAACTGATAAGAAATTTCTCTTTGGTATAAGATTCGTGTATATTCACAGCTCTGAACAATTACATTTTTGCTAACCCATTATATGCTTTTTCAAATTTATATTTTAATCTTGATCGACTTCACCATGTCTCGTCTACATTATGCTACTCATTTTGGTCGCCAATTTGCTCCAAATTAGGAGAAACACTATTCTAAAAGACTTAATAGCAATATCGAGTCTATTATTAGAGAATCAGATGCATCTCTTCTATATAATGAGGCTGCCTGTGAAGGTATTTAATTGCTAGCAATTAATATTAGGCTATGCAAAATTAATTAATTAGTTTTTATAACCTAGCAGGTCAAAAATTAAAAACTTCTGAAAAAAAAATTTTATATGTTTTAATAACTAAGTAGGTTTAAAAAATTTTTTTTATATAAATTTTATAAATTTTATATATAAAATTTTTTTAAAAAAAGCTGGCCGGCCAGGTCTATTTTAAAATTTCATGTTATGAAAACCAAGTAATTAAGTTTGTATAGTCTTAGAAAACTTATCTTTTAAGATTTAAAATTCTAATTAACATATTAACAAAATATCTGCTCCAAACAATACTTTTGCTACTAAAACTCTTGTTTATGAAGAATTTCAAAATTAAAATGGTCTTGAACGAGTCAGAGAAATTTTCACTGACTATGAAACAAAAATCAATAATTATCAACAAACTGTTGACAATTATAAAAATAAAATTAATAGTTTGGAAACAACAAACCAAACTTTAAAAAATTCAATAAAGAATTTAAAAGTGCTATCAGTAGATAATTTAATTTTATATTTTTTTAATTTTACAAAAAAATATTAATTTATTTTTTATTTACTTTAGTTTTGCTAAAAAATGATAACAAAAATTTTAAATATTTTATTTATTTTTTAAGTTTTTATTTTTTGGTATTTTATTTATACTTGGCTATTATATGTATCAAACACAACATGTTTTTGATATTAATGCTAAACTTTTACAAGAACAAGTAAAAGTTGAAGCATCAAAACAAATCTTTAACAAAAATTTAGATAGAATTATAGATTTTTTAGAATCACATAGAATGTGATTCTTATTGTTTATAGAAAAATCGATTAATAATTTTTCTTTAGTTTACTTATTTAGTTTTTACTATTTTTATTTTTTAATTATTTTTATTTTATTTCTTTAATTGAGAGTGCATGCACTCTTGGTGAGAATATTTTTTAAACATTATCGCTTAATAGCTAAATCGATAGGCCTGTTATTGATACAACATTAATATTGCCTTTGATTAATATAAAGGCGAAAAATTATAATTATTTGTTTAAAAATGAGATCAACTCATGGTAGTTTTTCTTGTCAACTGTTGTATTTAATAATTGTTCTACTTTGTCGAAGTTCTATAATATAGTTTGTGATAGGATTTCAACAAAGTAGAACAATTATATTAATATAACTTATGATATTTAATAAAATTATATATATTATTTTCAAATATAATAATTCTACACTTGTTAAATATATAATTTATTGATAAATTTAATAATTCTTATATTTATTATCTAGTAAAAGTCTATATTTCTCAAGAAACTACTCGCAATTTTCTTTGTATGTTAAAGGGAGAAACAAATACATCTGAATTGACATATCTAATATAAGAAAAATAATTGCAAATAAAATCATAAACATAATGTGAATTATAATAAACTTATATTTTGGTTTATCAAAGTTTCAATTTGATTTATGCTTAATTCTTGTTCAAGATTCTTGATAGCAGCTTCAAGCTTAGCATAGCTTAAAATTTGATCAATATGTGTATTACTCAAAGACTCGTTTTGCTGCATTTTACTCAAATAACAAATGATTATTTTGTTCAATTGAAGATAAAAAAAACAAACATTCTTATATTCAACTAAAAAAAACAGTTACAATGAGTTAAACTAAAAATTTAACACCAAATTAATTGCAATCAAATTTATCTTATTCAATTGTAGTACAAGTTTATAAATTATATAGTAATCATATATATACTTATTTATATTAAATATAAATTTATTTAAATCTCAATAAATTATTATTGATGAATACATAAGATTTTTCATATTTGATTAAATCAAATAGTAAATAATAAAATATAAACACATAATTAAAAAATATAAAAAAATAACTAAATAGTTATATTTTGCTTCCAACTTTTCATAACAATCGTGAAATTTTGTTTCTGACTTATCATAACAATCCTGAAGTTTAATTTTATCATCTTGCAAAATTTTATTATATTCTTTTGCTTCTTTTAATTGAGCTTTATTTTTATTCTTTTTCTCTTTTACTCATTGTAATTCATTAATCAAAGGTATAGTATCTTGATTTACTTTCACCATACTAATTGAAAAATAAATATAATCATTAAAAAATAAATAATTTTTAAAAACAAATAATACTTATATTATTAACAAATAATAATTATAGTGAAGCAATAACACTAAAGAATTTATTTTAAAATTTCTAAACTTATATATGAAGAGATCACTTATTCATATTATTAATTAGCTATTAATAGTCATGTGTACGCTTATTTACATTAGCCTTGTTACAAATACTACAATGAACTACTCTTTTCTTTTTATGCTGAGGATTTGTTCGTCTATTCACACTCAATCTTCTACAGATTGAATATCTTTGCTACTTAGAATCAACTGATTCAATAATCAAAGCAAGAATTACCAAGAGGATAAAAAACTTTTTAAAATTTATTCTAAAATAAAAACAATATATTTTTTTTTTATTCTTTAACAGTCTTGCCAGTGCTACAATACAAATATTTATATAGTGAAATCTGTCTTAAAAAAAAATAAAACCTATTTCTAGTAAATGCCCTTTGCAATTACGAGCCCAACATCACCTGGCTACAGATACTGTGCCCAGATACAACTTGTCGCACTGACTCACATATGTGTCAGGAGATCTTGTCAACCCATCAAGAACTAATCCCTTCAATCTTTCATTCTTTACCAAGAGTACTAGAAAATAAAATTTTGTATCACCAATACAGAACTAATATTAAGAAGCAAAACA